CTTGTTGCTCTTCGCGCCGCGCATAGAATCGCTTGCCTATTCCGTGTCCCGTGTTTTTCTTCTACATGGACACTTTTCCTCGTTTTGCTACGCGCTTATATTATCCCCGACACGGGAATAATATAGTGCCTTTTGGTGGTGGTGAAAGATGAGGGTGTGTAAATATTTAACGTCCAAGTAGATAATACACAGATACGCCACGCTTGTCAGTGTTGCAAATTACTGCATACTGGAATAGNCAATTAACTTGGATGGACAAAAATCAATCAGAATGTTTTTCTAGCTGCATGTTGTGCACATTATCATTCAACACGATCGAATGCTTGCACAAAAACAGGATAAATCTAGATTGTCGGTGTTCGATAACTACTGTCTACATCTTATTGCACGAGTCTGGCGGAGAAACCGGACTGGTGCAGAGTTCAAGGTGATCCCTGTAGCCCACTGAAGCAAGTGGTTGACTTGCACAAACCGAGTTCGTTTGTTGGGGCCACGTGTAACTAATTCAACGTGGTATAGTCTTTCAACCGTTGGCTTTGTCCTATCTGTTGTGCATAAGCATCGAACAAGTGAAAATAACGAGCAACAAAAATCTCACTCATCACTTAGAATTTAGATTTTTATCGAACGAATAACCGATTCTTTCAATGTCAGGGATATTCGTGCATTTTATTTCCCTTGGACTGACCGTCTTTTTGGCTTCGTTTTCCCGCACAATTCTCAACGTATCCTCTCAATTGTGCACTCGGTAAACACCGGTCTATCAGCCTATCCAGAATTCAAACCCCGAATCAGTGGCATGCAAGTTTTGTTATTTGGGTAGCTATATCTCACCCTGTGGACGCATCTTGAATGAAGCGTCAGATCGCATAAAGGTTTGATTGACATTTGCCTACTTGAGACATCTGTGGTGCGTCGCGACATCCGGCTGTCTGTGAAGGGTCGAATACTTGCTGCGGCAGTTTGGCCAGTTCGGCTATACGGAGCAGAGACTTGGCCATTACGGGAACAGGATAGAAAAAGGTTGTCGGTGTTCCAACACCGCTGTCGACCAGTTTGGTGGGGAAACCGTACAAGCAATGCGGTCCCCCACTAGAGAAAGTGGTCGAGCTGAATAGATTACGTTGGTAGGGACATGTGTTGCGCATATCACCAAATAGACTGCCACGGAGAGCGATGTTTGCTGAGGCAAGTAGTGGGTAGAATAAAGCCAAGGGTAGTCAAACCAGAACCTGTCCATAGGGTGTAAAAACTCTAACCAAGAAACTTGGCCACATTGGTCCTGTCATGTTCTCTGACTGGGGACCTCGGGATGGTCTTAACCGATGGTTAGATACACTGAGTGATATGACCGAGTGTCGTAAACAATGGTTTGTACACCTCAATTTCTTTGCAATCTTAGTCCGCTGAAATTCACCATTTTCTATTCGAATCTACTTCGGCTCTACTTTCAACCGTCCGGTCTTTCTCCCACTGTTCATCTGAATGGGCATCCAAAGACTGCAACCGAAAGCGGCACACTAAAGTGCACGGTTAATAGTTGTACAAACAGAAACATACCGGAGCTGGTCAGAATTAGCTTCTAAAGTGTGTTTAGACATAATCTTCAGTGAAATCCGATCAGTTTCATGCCTAACAAAAACAACAACAAGAGGTGCAGCCGATGATTTTGAACTCCAGTCAAAATTCATGAATCGATGTGTCTAGATTAAACCCACTAGATCTGAGTTTAAAATTGTTTTAACTTGAACTAAAACTCACTTCTTTAATGGTAAAAGATGCACTCAATTTGGTGCTAGTCTGGAATTGCTGACAAGTTGTTTCGCTCTCCCCCCCGCCCTTCCTCATCATCAGCATGGAATCATCGACGTCCAGTTCATTTCTCCCTCCGTCTGGTCCATCTGGATACCGGTGCCCCCGTCAGTCTGGAAGCTCGCCTAAGCCCGATCTGTTTAGGCGCACATTTGCACTGTTTCGTGTGTCGTCTCACCGCGACCGAGTGAGTGTGTGTGTGTATTTGTGTAATCTTTCCCGTTTCATTCCACTCCCACCTCTCAGACATATATATCCATATATTGTATGTAGCATCAATGTTTACCGATATGACACAAAAATAACCGTGAATCAAAAGTGTGGAACAAAAAAGAGAACGACACACAAACGACGATCTATTTTGACTTGTTTACTGCTGTTCTTATTCTTACTTTTGAGATTGCAAACAAGCGACAGTGAATTCGCGCCACGGACATCGATTTGATACCATATATCTCAGTGTCTCTAGCCAACCACAATCTGAATCAAAGGAGTCACAGTCTGGAATGATAGGAAATTCCAAGTAAGCCGAATACGAATGCAGCTTCTTTAACCCTCTACGCCACATCCTATCCCACACACATCACTGTTTCTTCCAGTCCGGATCAATGTGTGCAAATAGCGCAAACGTTGTTCAGGCATTTGTAGGACCTGTTTCAGCCACCGCAGTTAGTTAGTTAGTTAGTTAGTTCCACGAAAAACTATCTGATCCTAATTGTGACCCACGTGATTCTCGCATCATAACGCGGGCGAGGTTGCAAAAATATCGGTTGTTGTAGACGAATAGTCGTTGAACATGATATCCGCTCGGAGAGACCCAGTTTCACTGCCGTAAACCAGCAACACGGTACGTACCGTTGCGCATTACATAAATCTTTCCAGTGAAAGGAGTATGTCCCGCCGGCACCAGAGATGTCGCAGATTAGAATACGCTAACTTTACGTAGATTACGCAATGGGAGATCTCGACCACATCGCCAACCATCATGAAAATCCCCAGGTAAACAAAACTTTTCACTAATTCCAGAGTATGGTTACTGAACAAAAGTGCAAGTATAGGTTCCTGTTAATCTTGCAACTGCACCATGCACTTTGAATGTGCAAAAGACTTACCATAACTATTAAACTCAGTTCCCGAACGATTCAGCGTGTTTTGAATTGCTGGTGCGTTTTCACCGAGTGAGACAGTTGTATTATCGGCATACTCTAAGTTTACAACTCTGTCTCCAGGAAAAAGCTTGGCATCGGCGCTCATTACGTTGAAGTAAAGCGTTTTGCAAAACATTATCTATGGCAAATTTGAAGCAAAACAGGGAGAACTAGAGCAACCCTGTCGTATCCCACTGGTGACAGGGAATAAAAGTGAGAGTTCATCTCATGGGTTCTAGGTTTGACGATAGGATGTTCGTAGAACCAAAACATTTCTCTCGGGTAGTCCGTATTTCAGTAAGCAGTTCCACAGCACTGAGCGATCGATGTAGTCCCAGGCCGCCTTGAAGTCCACAAACATGACAATGGTTTGTCGCCTATATATGTGGCTTTGTTCGAGCAGGGTGGAGATTTACTCTATGCAACCAACTTCTCCTCTTCGTGGATTTATTTCTCACGAATCGGGCTTAATTGGCGTAATAAAAAGGACACTAATAGCATGTGCCCTATTGGAATCAGACTTGTGCCCCTGTAGTTCGAACAGGAGTTGCCATAGCTCTTCTTGTAGACGGGGGCAAACAGTCGATTATCCCCATATATAAGGTACACTTTCAGTTTACCCGATATTCGAAAACAATCTGGTAGACTGGAAATGTTTGTGATAACCAACAAAAAGCACTGGACAGCTGTTTCGTCCTGTTTGAGACTTGTCATCAGTGCGTACTTTTTGTGTCCCTGTCAGAACTCCAAACATTGACCATCTAAGTCTGGCAAGCTGTTTCACGAGAGCCGGTGGCAGGTTATTTGATCCGGAAGCCTTGTGGCGTTTCAATGCTCGAATTTCCTTCCGAATCTCTGATTCTGTGGACGATCTCGTGGATAGTGACCAGGTTGCATTCTCAGAAGAACTACTGAGGTTAGCCAGCGCGGGAGTCCGGTTCACTTGCGATGTGAAGTCCTCTGACCAGCGTTCCAAGCGTTTGTGAAGGCTGTATGTTGGCGTGCCGTCTACTTCGCAGA